GGTCCGAAAGGTGGCCGAACCTCGTCGTGCCCACCCAGATGTGGGCCTTCGGCTGAGCACCTTACCTTCATGGGCAGCCGTGGTGAACAGATTGGGTGAGGAGATCAGCTGTGCCGTGTGGTCTGGGCAAGCGAGTGAAGGAGCCAGAGAGTAGATGGGCATGGCTGTGACTCTAGTCACTGGCCAAGGCAGGCAAGGTGAGATAGGATGAATGGTGTGGTGTGGGCGGGGCCATCCAGTGGTGGGATTTGCTGGTTCGCCAAACTGCACCGAATCTTAACAACTGGTTTGCCCAAATCGGTACAAACCAGCTGAATCCCATCTCTGGATAAGGCCTAAATATGCTCCCATTGCTTTGACAGGTAATCCATGACTTACCAGAGTTCATTTAGCGACCATTCAAAATTGCAATGGCACTGAAAAATGAGACTTATGCCATTTTTCAGAGTTATGACCTTTGCAGCATCCCCATGATCACATGATCAAAATTCAGATGCTTGGCAACTGGTTCATATTTATGATAGTTGCAGTGTCCCAGGGTCACATGATTCCCTTTGGCACACTTCTGACAAGCGAAGACAATGGGGAAGCCAGATTTAACAACTGGGTTACTGGCTTATCCACTGTAGTGATTCACTTAACAACTGTGACAAGAAAGGTCGTAAAATGGAACAAAACTAACTTAACAAATGTTTTACTTAACAACAGAAATGTTGGGCTCAGTAGTGGTCATAGGTCGAGGATTACTTGTACTTGGTGATTCTGTATTCTATTTCAAAGAAGAGAAGTTTCAGTGCCATTTCTCTGAAACTCTATAATATCTATATGATATATAAATATTTACTTACTTGGACTTGGCATCTTTAGTGAAAAACACACACTCTCTCTTCTTAAAGTTTTCTTGAATAAAGTGTGCCAGATCCTTTGAAAGTAAGATTTAAAAGCCTTAGTGAAACCCAAGTGTACACAATTAAAAATAATTAATAATCTTCCTTTAAGCAATTAATATTATTTTTTACTCTTAAAAAGCATTCAATAATCATTACTGCATATGATTGCATAACAAACCTCAATGTATTCAAATGTTGTATATTCTCCCCACCCCCACCCCCTTCTGTTCAGTCTTGTCTGCTTCTTGGAGACTGCCTGGACAAGTCCTTGTTCTTTTCTTCACAATGTTTTTTGGAAGTGGTGGACCACTGCCTCTTTCCTAGGGCTGAGAGAAACGACTAGCCCAAGATAATCTAGTTGGCTTTGTGTCTAAGGAAAGACTAGAAATCACAGCATCCTAGTTTCTGGATGTCTTAACCAACTACCCCAAATTGGCTCTTCGATCCATTTAGTGGATGACCATTTTCAAACTAATGTTGTATAAATTGAATTGATGAAGACTATTTCATTTGCTTTGTTTTTCCTGCCTTTTAGTACTTCAGCAAAACTCATCATTTTTATTTATTCCCTTTCTTTGACTGCTTAGAGAACTAGTATACTATAGTGTTCATCTAACAATGTCAAATCTGTAGACTCAGTTCCATTTTTAATTACAGGAAGATATTTTACTGCAGCATTCTAAGAGTTTAAAGCTCCAAATATTGCTTTGATTTGGATTTCTCTTTTGTTCATTTACTTTCCATTTTATTAATTGATAAAAATAAACTATTAACATTTCTGAAAGCATTCTTAATTTACAGCATTTTTGCCCAGTTGTTTAAAATATTTACATAGTACTGTGTGTGTGTGTGTGTGTGTGTGTGTGTGTGTGTGTGTGTCAGATCCCTAAAAGTGATACTGCCATTCAATTGTGAGGTGGGGGCGCCTTGGAGTCAATTTATTGGCAAAGCCTGAGACAACTGACATTTTACAACTGGTTTCCTGGCGCTGAAAGGCCAGAGATCCCACCACCTTTTGAGGAATGTTTATGATGGCTGTGTGAGGTATTTTACTTTAATGCCTAATGGAAGATAGCTATGGGAATATATGTTTATTCAGCTCTCAGGACAGTTGATAAAGGAAACATCTTCACATTGTATATTGGTTAGAATTTGCATGGGAGGGGTCACTACTGCTTTAATTCTACCTGCAGTGCCTAAGGGGATTCAGATGTTGCTTTGCCTCTAATGGTTTCCATTATTCTTAATTAAAGGTTCCTTTTGAAATAATCCATTTCAAGAGTCTTCAATTTCTTAAGTTAGGAGAGGAGCCCTTACATAAAGCAACATCTGCAAATCAGTCAACTAGGAGAGACAACATTTGCTCTACCGAGGGGACCCTGCAAACCATGTCTGAGCACAGCAGTGAACAAGGGGAAGCTGACTGCTGGAGGGAGACATCACCCCCCCCCCCCCAACCAGAGACCTGCTCCATATACCCTGTCACAGAGGTTGAGGTGAGCCTGGAGGACCCCAAAAAGCCCCGTTGGTCAATCGGCATCAGGACGAAAGATGGCTGGGATGGGAGAACCGGGGGAGTCACTCTTACCCGAGGTAGTCAAAAACCAGGGTGGAAATTGGAGCTAGAAGCCCCCTCTGACCAGGAGGAGCTAAATGAAGCCTCTCTGAGAGAGGATTGTCTGAAGAGACATGTAACCCAGTTGGTGATGGAGATTTTGGAAAATCTCAACCTCTGGGGGGAGCCAGAATGGCAACCAAGAGGCGTTGGAAGGGCGACAACCGCAGGTGGGTAAAATGAGGACCCAGACTATGGGGGCAATATGCTGACTCTGTAAACTGCTTAGAGAGGGCTGAAAGCCCTATGAAGCGGTATATAAGTCTAACTTCTATTGCTATTGCTAGNGAAACAGAAAGAGGGCATCAAGATTATATGAGAGATCTTATAAGCAAGGAGTTGCTAAGAGGAGTCCATACAAAACTGATCAAGAAGATGAATGATTTATATTCATCAAGGTCAGATATTCATCAAGGTCAGATAGGTGTTCTCTTACCATTTTCTTGATTATTTTAATTTTTATTTCTAGTTTGTCTTTTACAGTAGTTTTTTGGGTACGTTGGACTGATGCAAAGAATGAGTTAAGCAGCTCTGCTTTCTCCCTACTGCCAGTCACTTCCTTGCCATCTTCTCTCTTTAGTGGGCCCTTGATTTACATGGCAGGGGTTAGTTTGAGTCACCATATTTTTGCCATATCTTAAATATTTCTTTGTATTCCAAGAATATTTTCTATATAGTTTCTGAGAATCTAAAAAGTCCTTACCTCAAAACTCCCAAAGCCTATAACAGTGATGGCAAACCTTTTTCACCTCGGGTGCCAAAAGCACTTGCATACTACCCCCATAATTTAATGCCCCCCCCCAGTGCCATGCCTCCAGCACATGAACACATGACCACCACCACCCACTGCCCTGCGCATGCACACACAGCTTTCTAGGAGCCTGGGGAGAGCAAAAACGGCCTCTCCGCCCCCTGGAGGCCCTCCGAAGACCCTCCAGAGGCTGGAAACAGCCCATTTTCCGATTTCCGGTGAGCCTGGTAGGTCCATTCTTCTTCCTCCTCAGGCTCCAGAGGCTTTCTAGGAGCCTGAGGAGGGTGAAAAATGCCTGAATACGCAAACTAGAAGTTCAGGAACAAACTTATGGGTTGCTATTGGGCCATTTTTCTCCCTCCGGAGGTAGAAAAACGGCTGAAAATCAAGGCCAAAAATTAGCTGGCCAGCACGCATGCAACATGAATCACAGTGAACACAGAAATATTTTTTCATATATTCTATATAATAACTGTTCAACATAATCAGTAGAGAATTTTTTTTATCTTAAATATATTTATTTATTCATTCACTTGTTACATCATATAGTTGCCTTTTAAATATAACATTCTAATAAAAAAACCCTAAACTACATGTGAGTCAAATGAATGTATTCATCCTAAAAAATAACTATAACATTTGATGTTAATTGATACTTAATTCTAAAATAATTATCCCTATTAGATACTGACCTGGAATAATGCATTCTGAAATATATTTTTCTAACTGGGTGCGTAACTTTGTCTCTGTGCCTTGACACCCATGAGTTCCATTATCCACCAAAATTAGATGAGTATGGTTATTATCTAAACAGTATAAAAGGTCCTTTTTCTGATCATCCATGATGTAGCTTGCTGAATAGTATGTCTGGGAATTAGATAAAACATTTAGGCATAAATATCCTTTCAACATCTTATTTTTTTGCATTACATATTATCTTTGTCAACCTTTTTTCAAATTTTGAGAAATGATGGTTAATAACACAATGCATGCAATTCATTTGGACAAGAAATCACACTAAACTGAGCTCATTAAATTTTGGAATCTCAAACCCTGACCAGAGCTGCATTGGTTGCAATATCTGCAAGCATGGCTCTCTTGAGGTTGCCCATGCATGCTCCACCAGATATGCTAGGCATCAGCCTTTTTTCATTGGCAAAAACAATTTCTCCATAAAGAAATGGATGGGGAGTGTAGGAGTCAATGTTTGGGGGAATGAAGAAGTGGACCTTTTGTTTACATTTCACTCATTAACTCTATTCTTGTAAGCAGCCATTTGAAAATTGTGTCACCAATTTTAATATGCAAGTTTCCTTTCATTTTTTAAAATATTTTTTGCTAAATTATAACTTAGTCAAATTTTCTGTGAACATAATCTTTGTTTTATTCTAGCCTTTCTTTATTCTGTCAATTTACATAATTCATTTCTAAGACTAATTTGACTTTCCACATGATTTGCAGCTCAATTTATTGTTTTGTAAATGATACATTGTTTGCAATATTCTTTCAATCATTTCATTAATAATTAATCAAGATCTATAATTGTTCAAGCTTCAAGAACTATAGACTACATAATGTTAAAATCTTGTTTCAAATATCAGCGTAGACATGCAGCAATAGAATGGATTTAAATGAGTAAATAACCTCCTCTATGTAATGTTGGGACTGAAATAATCTTGAATGTAAATTATTAACCAAATTCAGTACCTCAGTATCACAAGTTCTGATAAGATTCTCACGATTAGATACCATGCCCCAAGGAGCTATGCCAATAGCAATCACGTTCTCTTCCGAGTTCCTACTGATAGTATTATCTCGCACTACTTCTCCAATATACTTCATCAGTCCATAATGGGTACCTCCAGTGAATATCCAGGCTCCTGCACAGAGTTTCAAGTCAAACACGTTATTTGTTTATTCATTTATGAATGTGCCACTCAATCTAGCAAGGATTCACAGCAATTTAAAACTAATAAAGCATCCACAAAATTTAGATTGCTCTGTGTTAATTTCAAGCAGAAAGGAGAGCTTCAGTACTCTATATCCTTAAATGGAGGTTGGGTTCATTTTATTTTCTACTTTGCAACAAGTAATAAATTTGGATTATGACTGAATTATTTGAAATAGATGGAAGTAAAACCTCAAATCTACTTTCAGCAAGATTCATGATGAAATTATTGAAATGTCTATACATTACACATTATTTTTCAAAGGAAATACAGTATATAAATAATATACCTAATCACATAACAGGTTCCTATGTCATAGTTTTAATTGAATCATACCACAAATATACTTCCAATCAGATGTTTAAACTATCTTAATTTCACTGTGTGTTTTAGAAAGCGGTTTAAAGTAGTATTTAAACTAAATTATATTGTTCCATTTAATATCAAATAGGATGCAAAACCTGGAACTGCAAAATAGTAAAGAGTAACCAGTACAAATAGAATGAAAAATTAAATGACAAGGTGAACAAGATATGACTACAGTATGGGGAACACAAATAAAGGAAAAGTTATCTAGATGATATAAAAAAAACATGAGAACATGTTTGACATCTCTTTCCCCCAAGTTTTATCAGCAAAACCATTCAGAAATATTTTTCTAGTTAAACATGTTCCATTTAACAGACACAGATAGATACAGATATTGTCAGCCCTGAAGCCATTTTAGGAGCATCTTCAGGGCCACAGTCAGGCCTGTTGAAGCTCTGGGGACGTGAAGTGGGAGAGGGGAGGTAGAGATAGCTGTGGGGACTGTGTAGCCAATATAAGGTTCTTTCCCATGGGAGCCAAGGATGCTCTACCAGGTGTTATAGGGGCAAGGAGCTGAGACTATGACCTTATTGGGCCATGTGATGGTGTGGTTTTGATTGGGTGGGGAAAACTCTGGGTACCACCAGCTATGCCAATATGACATTCTTAATTAATTCATACTTTGAAGAAACTCTAAGCCTCAAAGTTTTGATTACTTTGGGTCTGTTATTTGGAACCCTGACAGATATGTTGACAAAACTTTACCCTTTAAATATTTTACTATTTGCAAATAAATTCCCTCTGTGTCTTGGACAGGCAGTGTATACATTCAGCTACTACTTCTAGATTTCAAAACTCAAAGTAGACAAATAACATATTTAAAACAGTAACTTGTATCCTACCAAATTTTACTTATTTTGGTAAATAATAAAAGTCTAGGCAAGGAACCTGAGCATGCTTAATCAGAAATAGTTTTTAATGTAATATATTCGGTTCCACCACAAAACCGCGGACGACAAAAGCGTGATCGACGAAAGCGCGCATTTGACGTCATCACAGCGCGACGAAAATATCGCACTGTGATAGAAAAAATGTAAAAATAAAGCGAAAACCTTACCCTAACCCCCCCAAACCTAACCCTAAACCTAACCCTAAATCTAACCCTAAACCTAACCGTTAACCTAACGCTAAACCTAACGCTAACTCTTAACCTAACGCTAAATGTAACCCTAACGCTCTAAACCTAACCCTAACCCTTAACCTAACCCTAACCCTAACCCTAAACCTAACCGTTAACCTAACGCTAAACCTAACGCTAACTCTTAACCTAACGCTAAATGTAACCCTAACGCTCTAAACCTAACCCTAACCCTAACCTTTACCTTTATGTGTATCGGCTTGCTTTAATTTTATTTTTATTTCAATTTTTAATTTTTTTTGTCGCGCTGTGATGATGTCAAATGCGCGCTTTTGTCGATCACGCTTTTGTGGACCGCGGTTTTGACGGGTCACGATATAATCAGTTTATTTTTACAGGCTGGAGTATTTACTCCATATACAGTATGATCTGCCTCATGTACTTTTCTGCTCCATATTTAACCTAGTAAAGCTTATTTATTTTTTCCTAGGCCAAACTTGAGAAAAAAAAGGCCTACTTTACCTTTGGACTGTGCAATATAAATCAACCGGCTGACAATTTTACGTATGCGTGGCTTTAAAGCAAAATTTTTTGCTCCACCTGTGACAGAGATGATGAGGTTGGGTGTTTTTAGATGCCATTGTTGTGTCATTAGGTCATAGAGGGTTTCAGAGTCTGTGTCACATGACAGACGAATGTACTAAGAAACAAAAACAATTGTTACAACAGGAAAAGCCCCAATTCATTCAAAGTAGATATGTCTTATTTTGTCAGTGGCTTCCCGTTTACACTATCCTTTACTTCTGTTATGAAAATCCCTTTGTTATGCAGATTTTATATAACACGGAATTTCATTTTATAAGTTCATAATCAATGCATATGTTTCCTTGTGCCCCTTTATAACATCTTAATAGGAAAGAAAAATAATGTTTAACAGCTTTTCTAATTTGGAATTTTTTCATACTACCATATTTTGAATGGACATTCCAATATCTTTTTTTATTATACAGTCTGTCCTCATTTAGGACCCACTTGATTCCAGCAAAATTGTTGCTAAGCGAACCATGTAACTGAGAGAAATTAAAAAAAGAATGAGAAAAAAGAAATCTCCAAGAATCTTGGTAATTTTTGCAAGAGAGTATTTTAATTGTATTTGTAATTTTACTGAGAGTTTCTACCTGTCCAAGTCGATCCAATAGATTGGGCATGCTGCAGATTCTGTCAGCCAAAGAACGTTGACTGGTGGAAAGTAGTTTCTGTAGCCCCACCTTATAGATCTCCCCCTTGGACCCTGCTGGCTTTTTGCAAAGCATTAAAACTTGGCTTAACATTTAAAACCCAGGTTTGGAACTCAGAATGTATTAATGGCTCCGTTACTTGGCTTTGGGCAGCTACAGAAATTGGATAAACAAATAAAATGCTGCTTATGAGTGTGTGCATATAGTATCAATCCAATCTCTCTTAAAATTGTGTCATTCAAAGGCTGATATAAAAAGAAAACACACCAAAAAAAATGCAGGTGATTAACTTACCTTTCCTGTCTTACCCAAATTTTCAAATTTAATGTCTCCAAAAGCATCAGTTGGGAATTCTTTAGTATGTTTCTTATAATTCCATTTCTCATTATCGTTAATCTGCATCTCTTCCACGTGTTGTGATTTCAAATATCCACATTTACATTGGTTGTCACTATAAACATATACATATGTAAAAACCTTTAATCAAAAGGAGTTTGTTTTTTACAAGGGTATAATAAACATTTTATTTAGCTTTCAAATACTTAGGGAAAAATGCAAAATTTTAGCATTACACATTATGAATTGTACAGCAGTAAAAATAATTCCCACCTTTAGCAATCCAATGACAACGTAAAATCCTAAACAATCTAGGCCAATACTCTTCTTATAGCAGGAATCTAAATTGAAAGTATCCCTGATAGACTGAACCTTAGTCTCTACTAGAACACTTCTATTGTGAGACTCTTGAATGACTAAGATAGTAACAGTGGGTCTTAGAGCTTTACACAATATTTTAAAGAGAAGAAAAGAACAATTCCATTTACCAAACTTGAAAAAAAAGGTAACAGTATATTTGAACAGGCATATAAGCTTGGACTAGCATTTTCATCCATGAAATATAATCAGTTCAAACTGAAGGTTCATATTGAACCTTTTAAGTCCCTCACAGAAAGCAATTCACATCTGACTCAAAATGCAACTATTTTTTGAAGCCACGCCCAGAGATACTGGCCTGTAGCTGCCAGTCTTTTTTGGCACAAGAAGCCTCCAGCTGCCGCTCTTTTTTGGCACGAGAAGCCTCCAGCTGCTGGTCTTTTTCAGCACAAGAAGCCTGTAGCTCCTGCTCTTTTTTGTTGCGAGGGACCTGCAGCTGCTGCCTCTTTGGTGGCGCGAATGGCCTCCAGCTGCCATCTCTTTGCCAGCCAGAACCAAGCCAGCAACAGCCACTGGAGGCTTCTCACACCGGCAAAGAGCGGCGGCTGGAGGTTTCTTGCGCCTGGGAAGGCCCCAGGGAAGGTTAGAGCCAGGAACAGGTGCGTCCCACAACCTGGGGTGAGTGGGTGGCATGCGGGCGGAGGCCCCAAGGAAGGCCAGAGCCAGGGACTGGCATGTCCCCTGACCCGAGATGAAGGGTGAGAGGGAGATAAGTGGGCAGAAGAATGGAAAGAGACAGGTCCGAAAGGTGGCCGAACCTCGTCGTGCCCACCCAGATGTGGGCCTTCGGCTGAGCACCTTACCTTCATGGGCAGCCGTGGTGAACAGATTGGGTGAGGAGATCAGCTGTGCCGTGTGGTCTGGGCAAGCGAGTGAAGGANTCGCGCTGTGATGACGTCAAATGCGCGCTTTCGTCGAGCACGCTTTTGTGGACCGCAGTTTTGACGGGTCACGGATACGATCATCCATTCAGTCGTGACACTCTTTGTCAATTCAATGGTCTAGAGCTCTCCGCATCTTCCGATCTTGTACTAGTACTTGTGAGTTGTTCCTCGCTCTGCCTGGTGTCGCTTTGCTGGTATCCAGCCGTTGCGTTCTTTGTCAACCTGGTTTCCTCCCACAACTTAACTCTCCCCAGCGTAATTGCTTTTTCCAGTGAATCCCCCCCCATAACGTGCCCAAAATAAGTGCTTCCCACTACATAACGGTACACTCCAGCATAGGTAAAGGTTCCCCTCGAACATATCTGCTAGTCGTTCCCGACTCTAGGGGGCGCTGCTCATCTCAGTTTCAAAGCCAACGAACCAGCGCTGTCCGAGGACGTCTCCGTGGTCATGTGGCCGGAATGACACAACGCCGAAGGCACAGGGAACGCTGTTCCCTTCCCACCAAAGGTGGTTCCTATTTTTCTACTTCCTATTGGTCTCCGAACCATTCCTATGGCTTCCTATTGGTCTCCGAACGCGATTCAGGATGCCCGTCATTACCTTTAAAGCCCTACATGGTTTAGGGCCTGGATACCTGCGAGACCGCCTACTGCCGCATACCTCCCAACGGCCGATAAGATTGCACAGGAGGGCCTTCCCCGCAGCCGCTCCGACCCTATGGAATGAACTACCCCCAGAGATCCGGACCTTGCCCACTCTCATGGTCTTCCGAAAGGCTATCAAAACCTGGCTATTCTAGCAAGCCTGGGGCTGTTGACCTCATGGTTGAGGTCCAGCCCCGACCAGATTGGGTGCATGATGAGGTTTTTAATCTGTCTCCTTTGATTTTAACTCTTTAATGATTTGTTTTTTTGTTATAAGCCGCCCGAAGTCCTCTGGGATTGGGCGGCCTATAAATCTATTAAATACAATACAATATATATACAATACTTGCATTTTTTACTTGCTTTCGAACTGCTAGGTTGGCAGAAGCTGGGACAAGTAACGGGAGCTCGCTCTGTTATGCGGCGCTAGGGATTCGAACCCCTGAACTGCCGACCTTTCTGATCGACAAGCTCAGTGTCTTAGCCACTGAGCCACCACGCCCCCTTCTGTTATCATGCCCTACAACAATAATCTAGCATTCCTGGCATCCTCGCAACGCCCATTTCCCGATCTGGCCTACTTTGAAAGGCTGACATGGCCACAAGGATTCAGATTTCCAGACATCTGCCCCAAAACAGAAACACATTTAAAGATGTCTCGGAGTGAGTCATTCCTCCTGGCTGAACTCAGGACCCGTTTCCCAAAGTCTTCTTGGCTTCCACTGCCACATTCCACAGTCAAGAGCGGCGTTGTGTTGTTTTGCCTCCCGAGAGCTTTGTTAGAAAACATTCACACTCCTTCCCTCAAGACACTTTCTCCTCGGTGGTGCAAGGATGGAGTAAACATCTGTTCCTCTTCGGAAGACGCAACTCACTGCAGTGACTTCTCTTCCAAAGGGGGGGAGGGGGAAACCCGAACCCACTTGAAGAAGTGTGAACTTCAATTCCCAGAATTCCCCGGCCAGCTTTGGAATTCTGGGAGTTGAAGTCCTTACCTCAAGTTGCCATGGTAGAAAAACACTCTTTAGATCTCTATTGGAGATCTTGGATTGTGAGCCGCCCTGAGTCCCCTCCGGGGAAAAGGGCGGCATATAAGTGCAATAAATTCAAATTCAAATTCTATTCTTTGCATTCAAGGTTATTGCAAGGATTTGTTGAAAACCCTTGGGCTATTATTTTCGACCCATCTCAGAATTTCGTTCCTAGAAATCATGTTCCATTCCTGCTTAAATTTGGCAAGGATGGAGTAAACATCTGTTCCTCCTCAGGAGACGCAACTCACTGCTGTGACTTCTCTTCCAAAGAGGGGAACGTCAATCCAGAAGGATAATATCAATATCATTCGATGGGACTTTAATCTGCTTTAATCGATAGATGCCACCCGAAAACCCTTTTGTTAGCTATGCTACTCTGGAATAGAGCACAAGGAGGAAGAATAACCCACCCCAAATTTCCTAAATTAAACTTCCTTGGTTTTTTTCTTTGGAAAACATTTCTCAACCACGAAGCTTTTTGGATGAAGATGCAAAACATTCTCAAAAGGAAAAAACGAAGGAAGTCCAGTTGCCTTTTGGAAAAGCACCTTTGGAAACAACGATGACCCAGAGGATTGAGAATTGAATGAAAGTTATGGAAATTCCAACGTTCTCCCCTCCAAGGAGGGTTCTCCAGCCGCAATGAGCCCCTTTGCAGACTTCAACGCTGAAGTTTGAAGCTGACTTAGGAGAAAATCCTTCAGGAAATGCAATGTACACCGTCAGGTGTTCCTTCGCTCCAACCTCAAGTCCCCCAAAAGGGCTGAGACAGCCCATCTTGGCTCAAGCCCGTCTCCAGGAAGAGGGCATCGGTTTAGCTGGACTCATTTGTGGGCACAAGCCTGGGCTCTCATTCCATGTCGCCATGCGAGAAACCAGAAGCGTCGGGTTTTTCCTGGAGAGAAAAGCCGACGTGGGCACTCGCTATTTATGTTGCACAATTCCTTCAAGGGCCCTCTGCGAAGCGGCAACCACAGCCCAGATGGATGGAGACGGGGACGGAGGTATTTCGGGAACTGCAGCGTCAGCCAAAACAAGAGGGTTATCTCGCTCGCGCCACCAACATTCACTGGGTTCAGCTTCTGATTTATTCCGAGAAACCTGTGGTTGAAACTTAAGCCCGGTCTACTCCCATCTTCAGGACTGGGCACTTCGTGGGGGGGGGGGGGCTTTGTGGAAGAAAACAGAAACTTCAGGCGCGCAGTTTCGCAGGGAAGAAATTAAATTTTAACCCTCGTTCGGTTCCACCACAAAACCGCGGTAGACAAAAGCGCGGTTGACGAAAGCGCGTATGTGACGTCATCACAGCGTGACGAAAAAGATAGAAAAATGTAAAAATAAAGCGAAAACCTTACCCTANAGAGAGAGAGAGAGAGAGAGAGAGAGAGAGAGAGATACGATATAGGCAATACGCTGACACTGTAAACCACAGAGAGGGCTGAAAGCCCTATGAAGCAGTACATAAGTCTAACTGCTATTGCTATTGCTATTAATCTCATTTTATTGGGTTTTATGTCCAGCTCCAAAGGACTGACCATCCCACCACTGAGTTTTGGTCATCTGGCTCCGAGAGGGGAAAGGGGTGGCAACAAAACCAACCTCCATCTCAGCTGGTTCTTCCCTGGTCTGGAGACCCAAAGGATGACACTCCAACCAGGCCTCTGGGTTGCATTGAAGTCTCTTCCTCTCCCACCCCCTTCGCAAAGAAATTGTACGTCGCCACACGGACTGGATTGAGTCCTGGAGCATCATCTCCCCCTTATGAAAGGCAGGCAGAATTTGATTTCCAAAGGGAGGCCTCCACCCTCTTCCTCCTGGGAGTAGGAGGGGAAGGAGTTTCTTGTTTATTGCTACGACTTCTTTGCAACAGCTGTGAATATCTGACCCTACGCACACACACAAAACCCTCTTTCAGGCACACTTTGAAGCCACACACACACACGTGTCTATGTGCTCCAACTCACTAAGCACGTCATAAAACAGGTCGAAGAAGATACACACACACACACTTCATTTTCCCCGTCATCTGTCTTCCCCACCCTCCTCCGTCTCAAGAACATGCACGGGCTTTATCCAAACAGCCAGGAGTTTTTGTGCAAATCAAAAGGCACTCGGGGAAATTAAGGGGAAGGGGCTGAAGCCCAGCGGAGGGATGAGCTGCTTTCAAAAATATCTGGAAGAACGAAGACCTAAAACTTAAAGATTTTTGCTTGTGGGAGGGAGAGAATTTCGGCCCACAGAAAGTGATGGATTTCCTGGCTTAGATTTAAAAAAAACAAAGGTTTAAGGAACAGGTTACTTAAAACAAATCACCCATCTCATAAAGTTGCTGAGATCGAGGAAGTGACACCAGCCAATAAATCACTGTTAAGTAAAGTGTAGCTTAGCATAATAAACCATCAACATTTTCTTTGTCTTCTGCACCACCAAACCTCCTCCTGCTTCAACCTCCCTTGTGGGGGGGGGGCGGGTCTGGGCCTGGCCCTCTGGTTCTGCCCCACTTTGGATCCAAGAGCTGAGTTCAAATCCAATCTCGCTTGAGGCTGCTGATGAAAGCATGATGGGTCTGGACCCGGGGNCTGGATTGTTGGGGGCAATATGCTGACTCTGTAAACCGCTTAGAGAGGGCTGAAAGCCCTATGAAGCGGTATATAAGTCTAACTGCTATTGAACTCAAAGCATACATCCAATGAATTAAAGGGGTTGCACAATTGCACCCTTGGTTCTGTGCAAATTCATCAACCCAGGTGTGAGAGAAGCCATCGGGTTTCAACTGGGCTCAAGAAATGCAGATTCTGCACAGGACGTGGGACACACCCTGTGCTTCCCTCCAATGGAAGGAAAAATAAAAATAACTCCACAGCTTTGAGTCTGTGTGAGTTAATGCCTGACAAAGCTCTGGGTTCAAGGCCAAGCTTTATCCAACCACAAAATCTTGGAAGGGCCAGGAGGAATGGCTACTTAGCCCTACGAACCCCCCCTTACTAGCTCTGCTGGCTGGAGAATTCTGGGAGTTGAAGTCCACAAGTCTTAAAGTTGCCAAGTTTGGGAACCACTGCCCCATAGGAAGGCCCATTTAAAGCAACAACATACTCAAACATGGGTGCCTGGATGCCAAAAGGCATATTAATTTATCTGGGACAAAAACATACCAAGGTAGAAAATTATCAGAAGCAAAATCAGCTGCAGAAAGAGAGGGAGGAACACAGCCTATTATTTTAGAAGCTCGAAGCATTGAAAGAGT